ATCATTTCTATCACCAAGGCCTAATTTTCCAACTACTGATTTTCCTCTTTGCTCCCAACCTTTGCATCCCAATCACCAGCAATGATCAATACATCTTCATTGCATATTTGATCAATTTCAGATTGAAGAAGTTGGTCGAATTCTTCTATTTCATCCTCACTGGCTTTAGTGGTTAGTGCGTAAATCTGAGTAATAGTGTTATTAACTGGTCTTCCCTGTAGGCGCATGGATATTATCCTATCACAGACAGCGTTGTACCTCATGACTGATCTGGATATGTTCTTTTTGATGATGAATGCAACACCATTCCTCCTCAACTTGTCATTTCTGGCGTAGTAAACCATGTGGTTGTCAGATTCAAAATGGCCAATACCAGTCCATTTCAGCTCACTAATGCCTAAGATATCTATACGTTCCATTTCATTTTTGACAAATTCCAATTTTCCCAGAGTCACACTTTTTACATTCTATGTTCTGATTTTCTATGGAAGTTTACAGCTGTTTCTCTTCATTTTGAGTTGTGCCCCATCAGCAAATGAAGGTCCCGTGGGCTTTTCGTATCATCACGGTCAACTCTACTTTGAGGAAGCCGCTCTTCCCCAGTCGCATTTTGAATGCCTTCCAACCTGAGGGTCTCATTTTTCGGTACTGTATCTGACAGTGTTTCTCTGCTATTCATAATGTTTTAAGAGACTAAAGATTCGGAAGCAGTTTTTCACTCCTTCTTCCTAGTCTGTCTTCTTCTGGAAGCTCATCTGAAACCTGTCCACCATGGGTGACCCTTCTGGTAGTTAAAATATCTGTGGCATAGCTTCCAGAATCACATCAACTCACAAACCACCACTGTATGACAAACTGATAGACGAGTGGTGGTAATATATATTTAGAAATTATATTATCATTCACTAATTTAATCAACAAAAAATGTGACCATTGGCCATAAAAATGAAAAGCAGAGCCTATTATATAAAAATAAGTGAGACTATCTTTTACAGGTGATGTGAACAGGGTAATAATAGTCCATTTTGGGCTGTAGACCTGTGTTGGAGAGTAACTAGAGCTGAAACTGGATGGTTGGTCATACTGAAGAAGCCTTAAATCCAAGGACAAGGGGTTAGACTATATTGGAGGAATTCCATATAAACAATGCATATAGATTATAAAAAGAATAATGCAGCCTTCAAGTATTTACAACTGAGGGTCTGACACAAGAGCAGACACTAGTAGCTGTTTAGTACATTTTAATCGAAGCCTTGAACAGAGCAAATGGTTAAGTGTTCACCTGCTAACTGAAATGCTGGCAATTCAAATTCACCTAGCAGTACATCAAAAGAAATCTTTGGGATTCAACTTTTAAAATATCAAGCAAGCTGTTTTCCTTGGAGCCATCAAAGTAAGAAAAGTCAGCCCATCAGGGTAAGCCCTCTTCTAAGACTGAAACCCAAAGGGAACACCCAGTCTTGCAGGCTCTCTGGTGACCACTCTAATCAGCTTGTGAGTGGAAGTAGGGGAAATGCAGCAATGAAGACATGTGTTAAGTCTGGCCATGTTCCATAGACACCTGATGACTTTGAGATGAGAGACAGAAAAGGAAGGGTTGGCTGGTTTGAAGTTCAGGGAGACATGGGAACTCCGGAGCCCAAGGACACTGACCTAGCCATGGGGGACTAGAGTTAAGAGTGAAGCAGCTACACTCTCAGCTAAGGTTATTCACTATATAAGTAGATATGTGTTATTTTTTTCAGTTAACCAGAACCTGATTGGAATTTAATTCAACAGCATTGTAGGAGGTTGTGGAACAATATACACTTGTCTGTGGATATTCATCAGCTACATGCTCAAATTTCTGATATAAGTAATTCTCAAGT